TCGTTTTGAGTTAAGTTATGCTGTACACACTTTGTCTCAGTTTATTCAAGAGCCTAAGCAAACTCATTGAAAAGCTGTGATTCGAGTTGTTTATTTTCTAAAGGGTTCTCCTGGCCAGGGTATTTTCCTCAAAGCTGATTAGATTTGACGCTTACGATCTATTGTGACTCAGATTGGTCATAGTGTCCATTGACTTGATGTTCTCTTAGTGTGTTTATTGTTTTACTTGGTGGATCTCCGATTTCTTGGCGAACTAAGAAGCAGGATACAGTCTCTCATTCCTCTACCAAAACTGAGTATCAGGCAAAGGCAGCAGGTCTTCGTGAGGTTAAGTGGCTTCAAAAATTGTTGAAATAATTGGGCATCAAACAGGTTGCACCTACTCTTTTTTTTTTTACAGTGAGACTGCTATTAACAGTGCAAAAAATCTTGTTTTCCATGAACGTACAAAGGACATAGAAAACGTTGCCATGATGTGAGAGACACTGCTCAGGAAGGTGTTATTGCTATCCAAAATGTTCAGGAAGGTGTTATTGCTACCCAACATGTTCGTACCATTAATCAGCTCGCCGTCATCTTAACCAAAGCATTAGGACGATCTCAGTTTGATACTATACTGTCCAAGTTGGGCGTTCAGGATCTTCACGCTTTAAGGTGAGGGGGCGTATTGGGATATATCTGAATTCCTTAATTTTAGGAATATTTTATATTTTGTAAATAAAGATTTTGTCCCACATCGGTAATTGAGAAAAATTTGTGTGAAAAATGTGATGTATAAATACCTTGTAAATATCATTCAATACAATCAAGTTGGTTTGATATCCAATTCTATAATAAATTTATTTATAGATACATTTCATGATAAATGACAAAAAAGAGAAATTTTAAAATCATTAGAAATTGTAAGTGAGCTGTTAAAAAATTATTTCACAAGTTTATTTATAAATTGCTGAAAAATAGTGTTATCAATAAAACAATATAGTTTTCAAATCTAGTGTGTCATTTTATATTTTAACAGACAATATTAAAATTAAGTTAAATAATTTTAATGTATGCATGGGCAAATGTAGTGAAGGGAGAGGGGGTGCATGTGCACCAGTGTTTTAACTAAATTTAAGTGTGCACTCACTAAATTTTGATATTGTGCCTGGTCTTTTGATTTGTTAGATACACCCACCATGCATACTTTTTTTTTTGAACATTCATCAATCAAAGGGGAAGACTACGTAGTCTGGCATACAAAATCCAGCAGTTTGGCATAAAAATATTTGAATAAAACTAACTTTTTAAAAACTTTTAACATATCAAACGACACACATAACCTTTCAGATTTTAGACATTAAATACTGGATAAAACACAACTGTTCAATATTTAATTAAACCAACTGTGTTTCACTTTGTATTTGGCATCATATTTGAGTTTCACTTTTCGATATTTCATTATTGAACCTGAGCCAACATCCACAAAACACTTTTGGAGTTGTAGTGTTTTTTTTTTTTAATAAGTATTTTAATTTCATTCATAGTGAGATTGTTTGATAATATTACAAAAGGATGGGACTAAGAGGCTATTCCGTGCTAAAAAAGATGAGAACCTATACATTTTGGAAGAAAGTCAAATTACTCTATTTACTCATGAGTAAGCCAAGTTTGTATTAGGGAATATATCTCATATCAGTAGTTGGAAGAGATCTTAAGTAATATATAAGGAACATGGACCAATCTACTTATCGCCAATTGGTTTTAAATTGAAAGCCCGTGTAACTTAACATGGTATCAGAATCCGATCTACACAAACCAACCTGATCTGACCCAAAGTTGGTCCAGTCATCGACCAGGCCCGAATGCCGTCGATCCAAGCCCAAACATACCAAGATTGATAGGTTGAGAGCCATCATCTCAAAAGGGCGTATTAGAGAATATATCCCACATCGGTAGTTAAAAAAAAATCTTAAGTATTATATAAGGGACATGGACCAATCCACTTATCGTCAATTGGTTTTAAATTGGAAGCCTATGTAACTTTTGAGTTTGCATCAGATATATCAATTCTTACGTTTCTTCTATGCAAAGGTTGCATCTTGGATTAGTTGATCAATTAATGCCTTGAAAATGGTTTTGCGGAGAGGTTGATATCTTTCTTTCTTTTTGATAAACTGAGGTTGATGCGTTGCTGTGAAATCGGCTGTTCCTTTCAAACTATAGCTTTTAATGTTGTATGAGCAACAAGTCTGCAGTGTTCGTGAGCAGGTTGCTTCTTTCACTCCTATCCCAACGCTGAAAGCCGTCCAAGAATAGAAAAGAACTGGACCCGAGAACAGAACCGTGCCCAGAGATACAAAGCCTATAAACAATATTTTTTTTAAAAAAGATTATAATTAATCTGTTGTATGTGTTGAAAACTTTAATTAACCATCTTCATCTCATATTCATATAAAACAAATTTAAAACATATAAATAAATAATAATATCATCAATTCATATTCATATAAAACTATTATTAATAATCATTATCTTAAATAAAATAAAGAAAAATCAGATTAACAAATCATAAATCAAACTAATCATGATATTAGATAAAATAAAATTATAATTAAAAAAATTAACAATTGGCAAATAGTTTTTGATTATGTGGTTGTTCAGAAAGAAGAAAAAGAAAGCAATAAGTTTTCAAAAATTTAACAAAAAAATAGAGAGTTGAAAATGTAATTTTATATATAAGAAATTATTTTATCTAATTGTTTAGATGACTTTGTATGTTGTTCTAATATTGTATTATGTTATTCATTTAGTTGCTAATTTTATTAAAGATTTTTTTTTGTTTTTAAACTAAATCTAAATCTTTCAATTTTAAAACTAGATTTTAACCTTGTGCATCCGCACAAAATTTTTTTTGTTGTTTTCTAATATAATTTGTATTTTTTTTTGTTTAGATATATAAGTTGTTTTTATCATTTATTTATTTTCTTAAATCAAGAATATTTATTTTTCAATTTTTAAAATATGAAAAAATAATAAAAATGAGATGTGTTAAGCTTTTCATCATCCTGGTGTCGAGCTATTTTTTTTGCAGGACAATTTTTTATCATGTTATAACTTTAAATAGTATAAATTTATATATTAATAGAATAAGAATATGAGTTAATTAAGTATATTTTGATTTAATGTTAATTATAAAATTTGTTATTATATGATTTTAATTATGTAAATTTAATTATGTGATTTTAGTTATGTGAATTTACATATAAATAATCTATATATCTATGAATTGGCTAATCTATCCGTTTAGTTGTTTTAAATTTTTTTTTTAATATCTTACATGTTTTGAAAAACTAACTTGTATAAGAATGTAATTATAAATGCATAATCCTAACCTGCTCTATTATATTATTATAATATAAAAATTATAAAAATATTCACTAATATTAAATATTTTAGGCCGATTTGATTACGTTAAAATATATAAGATATTCAAGTACCATTTATATTATTATAAAAATAGATATATCTATAAATTGGCAAACTTGTTCATTTATTTACCTCAAATCATATTAATATCTTACATGTTTTAACAGACTAACCTGTATAGGACGTGAAATATAATAATACATAACCTTAATTAGCTCCATCATATTATTGTATAATATACATATTTATTTATCTTAAATATTTGATATTTTAGACCGTTTGATTATGATAAAATACAATAAAATATTCGTTTACCATTTATGCTATTATGAAAGTATAATTTAAATTTATAATTTTAAATTAAATTTAGCCTATATTTAAAAAATTTTAAAGTAATTAAAATTATTACCTAAATTTTTGTAATAAAATTTAATTATAATTTTTAAAATTTTTGAATTTTAAATTAAATTAAATCTAAATTTTGGCAATTAAATATAATTATTAAAATCTTTAATAATTTGAAATTTTATTTAAATATGACAATATTTAAGGAAATTTAAAATATTTCAATGAATAACTAATTTTTGAAATTAAATATCAATATAAACTAAATGTTTTAAATTAATTATCACCTATATTTAAGGAGAATCTAAAAATATCTAAATTAATACCTTATTTTCGGAATTAAATATAAATATAAAATAAAATATTTAAAAAAAAATTTGGGAGTGTTCGGAAGCAATCACTAAATGTGTTTCTGTTTTAATATAATAGATAATATTAATAATTAACATTAATTGAACCTTTCAATTCTTTTTCAAAATAATGGCCTGTAGGTCAATGTTTCAAATCTTACCACATAGGCACGGGTCTGCCCAAGAGATGTAAGCGTTTCATCAAAAGAATTATAGACTCGTTTCAAAAATTCCAAAATCAAATCGGTTTAATCAAGTGCAACTAGTTAGATCGAACATGATGGAACTGGTAATTGTGTTAGTGTCGACAGCGTGACTTAATGAATCTGCCAACAACATGCATTATGCGGATTATAAGACGTAAAATGAGGAATGATAATTATTTTAAGTATTTTTGATTCAAATATATTTAGTTTATAATTTTCAAGTTTATGATAGATTAAATAATTTTTGACAACATGTTTAATACTTGTTTGGAAACAGATTCAATTTATTTAGGAAAATTAAAGTGTTTCGAAATATAATCTTTTTTAATAGTATAGATTATGTAGAATTGAATTCACACGGTGGCTAGTATTCCTTTCTAGTTTCTTTTAGACCAGATTTTTCTTCTAGTCATTTTTTCTCTCGAGATTTGAAGCGCTAGTTTGTCGTTTCACAATTTGCTAGAATATTTGGACTTTTCTAGTAAATTTAGGACTGTTTCTAAGTCCCTTAATTAGTCCTACCATGGAATAAATATCTAGCCTATAACTTGGTTTTAAGGTCATCTAGAAATAATGCCAATACACATTTTCTCAGTCTTTAGAAGTCAATAATACTCGTTTTCTCGTCTCACCTTTATAAGTATAACATTGCTCTTAAATCGATTACTCCATAACAATAACGTACGTAGTACAAGAAAAGAAAAGAAAAAAGTTTTATCATAGTTAACAGAAAAAAGGGATGGGGAAATGCCCTGCTTTGATGGTCTTCCTCGCTTGTTCTCTTCTTCTTGTCCTTCAAAACCTCGAAGTTGTTAATGCCGTCGGGTGTGCCGGAAGCTTCTTCAACGCTAACAGCAGCTACGTTCAGAATCGTGACAGTCTCTTCTCTACTCTTGCTGATAAAGTCATCGCCAATAGTGGATTCTACAATGCTTCACTTGGCAAAAGCCCCAACAGTGTTCATGTTCTTGTCCTCTGCGCAAGGGGCTATGATCAACAAGCTTGTATGAATTGTGTGGAAAGCGCGACTAAGGGTATACAATCGAATTGTCTAAACCGCATGGATTCGTTCACGTGGGACAAAGACGTTGAAGACCATGTTTCTTGTCTTGTACGTTCCTCAAACCACTCAACTTTGGGGAACCTCGAGCTTAGACCTGCTATTATCTACCCAAGTCCACTTAGCATCGAGTCATCTAAGAACATGACCCTTTTCGAACAAGAGTGGGATGCAATGGTTAATCGGACCGTCGAGACTGCCACGGAAGCTCAAAATTCCTCCGTGGTACTTAAGTACTATGGTGCCGAAAGAGCTGAGTTCACCGAGTTTCCAAATGTTTACATGCTGATGCAATGCACACCCGACATTACTTCCCAAGATTGCAAGAGTTGTTTGAGAGATTGCGTGGCGCTTTGGAAAACACAGTTTTGGAAAAGACAAGGAGGCGAGGTTAATCGTCCGAGCTGTTTTTTCAGGTGGGATTTTTATACCTTCCATGGTGCTTTTGATAATGTAACAAGAGTTCCTGCCCCTCCTCGGCCTCCGAATCCGGAAAATGGGAGCCCAATAACAGTCAAGAAAGGTAAAACAAATGAGTTATGGCATTGCCACAATTTGTAAGTATATGATAAAGATGGTCCCAGACTTAAAAAAAGGTCAATAATTTGCAGGAAGAAGCATAGGGTATAGGGGAATTATAGCGATATTTGTGGTTCTTACTTTGATTAATCTTTTGGTGTTTATTGGTTTCTTCAAAATCAATGCTCGGAGGAGAAAATTAAACAAAAGAATCAATGGTAAGTGTTAGCTTCTTTTTTGCTTCAACAACATTTATGATGTAGAGAGTAAGACTTATTTCTTTTATTTTTGAGTCGGTAATGCAGAATACCATGATTCGGATGGTCAATATATGTTAAGATTTGATCTTGGTATGATCTTAATGGCAACCGATGACTTCTCGCCTGAAAATAAGCTTGGCCAAGGTGGATTCGGTATGGTCTATAAGGTAATAACCTTTCTTTTCTTCCTAATTATGAGTTCTTAATCAACCTTGGTCTTAAATAAAATAATATATATTGAGAACCGCTTTCAGGGGACATTACCAAATGGCCAAGAGATAGCGGTGAAGAGATTGACAAAAGGTTCAGGACAAGGAGATGCAGAGTTTAAGAATGAGGTTTCACTATTGACAAGACTCCAACATCGGAATCTGGTTAAGCTTCTTGGGTTCTGTAATGAAGGAGACGAAGAGATTCTTGTCTACGAATTTGTCCTCAATTCAAGTCTTGATCACTTTATCTTCGGTGAGCCTTGGAAACATGACTACATTTTCGATAGTTTTGGAACCTCTTAGCAAGAAAATGTTTCTTTAAAATCTGCAGATGACGAGAAGCGTTCGCTTCTTACATGGGAGGTGAGGTTCAAAATTATAGAAGGCGTTGCTCGAGGTCTTGTTTATCTCCATGACGATTCTCAGCTGAAGATTATTCACCGAGACTTGAAGCCGAGCAACATTCTACTAGATGCAGAGATGAATCCTAAAGTCGCAGACTTTGGGACCGCTAGGTTGTTCGATACTGATGAGACTCGAGCTGAAACAAAACGAATAGCTGGAACCCGGTAAGAACATAGCAATCAACTTTGAAGATACGTAAATATGCTCACCATCAATTAACACTATTAGTTGCATGTATAGTGGATATATGGATCAACTAATCATGAATTAATTTCCATATATGTAGTGGATATATGGCTCCTGAATACCTTAACCACGGGCAAATCTCAGCTAAATCTGATGTATATAGCTTCGGTGTTATGCTTCTTGAGATGATAAGTGGGGAAAGAAACAATAGCTTCGAAGGAGAAGGACTTGCAGCTTTCGTAAGTTTCTTCACAAATCCGTCTTTGTTCATGGTATTTCATTTTGTATTTTCACACCTCTCTAGTAAGTGATTGGATCTTTTTTTTTTTTTTGGTTCAGGCATGGAAGAGATGGAAAGAAGGAAGGCCTGCGATTATAATTGATCCTTTCTTGGTAGATAATTCGAGTAACGAGATCATTAAGCTGATCCAGATTGGTTTGTTGTGTGTTCAAGAGAATCCAACAAACAGACCAACCATGAGCTCTGTAATAGTTTGGCTTGGCAGTGAGACTATCACCATTCCTTCACCCAAGGCTCCAGCTTTCACAGGGAATCAATCCCAATCTGAGGATGGTACAATGTCAATGAGCACTGTCTTCACGGAGTTGAGTTCTCGTTGAGTTATAAATTTGTGTTAATCAAAACATATTGTTTTAAAGCAGTAACTATAATTATTTGGCAATCAAACAAGAATATAGAAAAGAAGAGGCTTTACTATTATCACATCGTTTATCAGTGAAAAGCCCTAACATTTTATGGTGACGTAAGGAGCAAGGAAAAGACCTTTTCCCCCTCTTTTTCGCTTGACGTAAACGACATGGCAAACACTTCGTTGTCCTGAAAGGTCTTAAATATTTACAACCATTCAAAGCCTCAACCAAAATTTTTTGTTGTCCCAATGAGCCAAATTAAACACTTTGATAACTTTTTTGGTCAACTGAAAGGTCTTGGTTTTCCATGAAAGTATCACGGTGCTTCCTCTGAAATGCATTACTTTTGGACGTATACAACACGTCAACTTCAATCTTAATATATTGCATGTTGATGGAGAAAAAAATAACATTATATTAACGACCTTACATTATCAAAATCCTCCGTGCTGACAAAAAAAAAACTATCAAAATCCATCGTATTCAAATCAACTAACTCCGATGTACCAACTAAATTAGAGAATGTAATTGTACAGAACAAAGGATGCTTATATTTCAATTGGCAATAGTAAATTTATTTATATTTACATTTGATGATAAATGACAAAAACAAAGAAATTTTAAAATCATTAGTAGGTGGGCTATTAATCATGAGAAATTGTAGGTGAGCTATTAAAAAAAAATATTTCACAAGTTTACTTATAAACTGTTGACAAGAATAGTGTTATCAATAAAAAATTTAGTTTACAAATCTAGTGTGTCATTTCATATTTCAACAGACAATATGAAAGAAGTGAGATGTCAAATAAATACTAAATTAGGTAGATGGTAATATATGAAAACATTTTAACGGAAATGGAAGTTCCAGAAGTTCATATTAGAAAATAGCAAAGAGAACAATAAAAAAAAAAATAATTTAACCCAAAAAAAAAACAATAAAAAATTATGCAAAATGTTTTTTTTTTCAAATGTACCTTTAAAAGAATACTCATTATAATTTTTTCCGTAAATGACATATCAGTATGTAATTAACATAAGAAATAATATTATTATCCCATGATAGTATATATAATCACATATACTTACGAAAAACGTGTAATTTCACTAAATGACAAATTATTTTGTTCAAAAAATAACTAAATGACAAATTAAAGTTCTATTTTTTTTACATAAATGGAAGTTCCAGAAGTTCGTATTAGAAAATAGCAAAGAGAACGGTAAAACATTTTGAAATTTTTTAACATGTTATCCTTTTATCAAACGTACCTTTTAAAGAATACTCATTATAAATTTTTCGTAAATGACGTATCAGTATGTATTCAACATTATAAATAATTATATTATCCACATGTACATGATAGTAAATATAATTACATACTTATGAAAAACGTGTAATTTAACTAAGTGAAAAACTATTGTGTTAAAAAAATAACTAAATGACAAATTAAAGTTCTATTTTTGAACCCATTTCTCACGTCATATACTAAATTAATATCTTTGTCTAGCTAGTTGTAAGAAAAATAAATTAAATTGACATGTCTTCCAAAAAAATATATATATTGGGGATTAGGATAACCGAAGAGCTTCTTCCCACTATACTCCAAATTAAAATCATCTAGCTGAGCTGCATGATTGCACAACAAAAAATAACAATACAATTAGCAATAGACTTCCAAATTAATAAAATAATGCGTACACTAACAGATATGTCTGTTTTCGTAATAAATATGATGAATTATGATTATGAATAGTGTAAGGATTTTTTTTTGGTCAACAACATTAATACCTCAAAAACGGTTTGATAATTTAAACTGGTAGTACCAAGTTTACGTTAATCATGAAAATAGACCTGAACACAATCTGATTTTGTATTCTTCGCTGAGATAAATGAGATACAAAAAAAAAAAGTGAAAAACCTCCTTACTTATTTTAGATGCAAATCAAAAGTTGACCATTCTTTCTGTATAGACACCATCTTCATCATTCTTTATATTTTTTTTCTTCCCTGGAATTTATTCCAACGCGGGTCAAAGACAAAGAGTACTAGACTTTTGTTAAGCTTTGGTTTAAATGTCTAATTATGAAAGGGAACATAACTGAACATGTTATAAACTTTTCCTTCTAATGACGAAAGTTTTTCTACATTAACTAATATGTTTTTAACAATTTTCTAATACTGCAATTCATATTTATATATCATTTACCAATAGAGTGTGTTACCATTAGGTGTATTTTTGAGTTATCTAATGTTTAAAAAATGGACTTTTGTGTTTTAATTACCAAAATACACACTTTTTCTGTTTAGAGAACACAAATAATTGTTTTAACCTTTTTGCCTACTTATCTATATTATTTATTTATTTATTATTTTATTAATATCACACCTCCCATATTTGTTTGTTGTTATTTATCTATTATTTAAAAAATAATCGAATAATTATTTTGACACTATGAATTCTATAATTTATTTTTTAATACTTTGATACCCATTTTATATTTTTAAACTTTTAATTTTTTTGTCAGTTAGTGATAAACACATGGGTATCCATATAGTAGCGTCCACGTGAACATAAATATATGGATATCTATGCAATTATATAGATATATATATATATATATACACATACGTATCCATATAGTAGCGTAAACATAAACACAAATATTAAAATATATATATATATATATATGCATATCCACGTACATAGAGTATAAATAGATGTAACTATATAGAAACACATATATATTTACATACATATTCACATGCATATATTATAGATGGATGTAACTATATAAATATATATGCATATTTACATGAGTATCCATATAGTTGTATATATATGGGTAGGTCTCGTGTGATTTAGTGTATAGAAACTGATGAATTAAAGTGGATCCTATACAATTTAGTGTGTAAAAGCTGATGAGTGAATTTAAATGAGTCTCGTATGTTTTAATATTTTTCAGTAAGTAAATAGAAGATAAAAGAAAAAAAAAAAGGCAAAAAAGTCTAAAAATGGGAGCAAAGTAAGATAAATACACCATCTATGCCTTTTTTTGGCAATTACATTTTTCAAAAGTACACTGGTAATATTCTCTACGAGTTGCAGCTACCCCTTGCAAAACTTTCTAAAATCCATAACCAAGCAGCCAACGACGAACGATCATATTTCTTTGACCAGACAAAAATAAAAGGCCAATAAATGAAGCCAACCAATACTCGTTTCTTATCTCATCTTCATCTATATAAAGATGACAAGAATCTAAATTAACAAAGTAGTACAAGAAAAGAAAAACATAAAAATAAAAATAAAAAATGAGGAAATGCCCTGCTTTGATGATCTTCCTCGCTTCTTCTCTTCTTCTTGTTCTTCAAACCCTCGAAGTTGTTAACGCCGTCGGGTGTGCCGGAAGCTTCTTCAACGCTAACAGCAGCTACGTTCAGAATCGTGACAGTCTCTTCTCTACTCTTGCTGATAAAGTCATCGCCAATAGTGGATTCTACAATGCTTCACTTGGCAAAAGCCCCAACAGAGTTCATGTTCTTGTCCTCTGCGCAAGGGGCTATGATCAACAAGCTTGTATGAATTGTGTGGAAAGCGCGACTAAGGGTATACAATCGAATTGTCTAAACCGCATGGATTCGTTCACATGGGACAAAGACGTTGAAGACCATGTTTCTTGTCTTGTACGTTCCTCAAACCACTCAACTTTGGGGAACCTCGAGCTTAGACCTGCTATTATCTACCCAAGTCCACTTAGCATCGAGTCATCTAAGAACATGACCCTTTTCGAACAAGAGTGGGATGCAATGGTTAATCGGACCGTCGAGACTGCCACGGAAGCTCAAAATTCCTCCGTGGTACTTAAGTACTATGGTGCCGAAAGAGCTGAGTTCACCGAGTTTCCAAATGTTTACATGCTGATGCAATGCACACCCGACATTACTTCCCAAGATTGCAAGAGTTGTTTGAGAGAGTGCGTGGCGCTTTGGAAAACACAGTTTTGGGGAAGACAAGGAGGCGAGGTTAATCGTCCGAGCTGTTTTTTCAGGTGGGATCCATATGCCTTCCATGGTGCTTTTGATAATGTAACAAGAGTTCCTGCGCCTCCTCGACCTCCGATTCCGGAAAATGGGAGCCCAATAACAACAGTCAAGAAAGGTAAAACAAATTAGTTATGACATTGCCACAAATTGTAAGTATATGATAAAGAGGTTCTCAGACTAAAAAAAGTTGTAATAATTTGCAGGAAGAAGCATAGGGTATAGGGGAATTATCGTCATAATTGCGGTTCTTACTTTCATTAATCTTCTGGTGTTTATTGGTTTCATAAAACTCTATGCTCGTAGGAGAAGATCAAACTACAGAACCCATCGTAAGTGTAATTTGTTTCTTGCGTCAATCTACCTTATGATGTAGAGAGTAAGACTTATTTACTTTTTCTTTACTATAGTTGGAAGTGCAGAGTACTCTGATTCTGATGGTCAATTTATGTTACGGTTTGATCTTGGTATGATCTCTATGGCAACTGATGACTTCTCGACTGAAAATAAGCTTGGCCAAGGTGGATTTGGCACGGTTCATAAGGTAGTAACAATATATTTCCTAATGATCTTGGTTTTGGATGAGTAACAGATCTTGAAAACATGTTTCAGGGGACATTACCAAATGGACAAGAGATAGCGGTGAAGAGATTAACAAAAGGTTCAGGACAAGGAGATACGGAGTTTAAGAATGAGGTCTCACTCTTGACAAGACTCCAACATAGGAATTTGGTTAAGCTTCTTGGGTTCTGTAGTGAAGCAGATGAAGAGATTCTTGTCTACGAGCTTGTCCCCAACTCAAGTCTTGATCACTTTATCTTCGGTGAGCCTACAAAAAAAATGCTTTCATTTTGAATTGTGTTTAGAAATTTTTATCAAAACAATGTTTCTTTGAACTCTTTAGATGAGGACAAGCGTTCGCTTCTTACATGGGACGTGAGATTCAGAATTATAGAAGGCATTGCTCGAGGTCTTCTTTATCTTCATGAAGATTCTCAGCTGAAGATTATTCACCGAGACTTGAAGGCGAGCAACATTCTTTTAGATGCAGAGATGAACCCTAAAGTTGCAGACTTTGGGACCGCAAGGTTGTTCGATACTGATGAGACTCGAGCTGAAACAAGACGAATAGCTGGAACCCGGTAAGAATATATCAATCAACCTTACAGACACATACATATGATGTTTTTAAAGAATCTTTGATATTGGATCAACTAATCATGAATTAATTTCCATATATATAGTGGATATATGGCTCCTGAATACCTGAACCACGGGCAAATCTCAGCTAAATCTGATGTATATAGCTTCGGTGTTATGCTTTTAGAGATGATAAGTGGTGAAAGAAACAATAGTTTTGAAGGGGAAGGACTTGCAGCTTATGTAAGCTTCTTTCACATTATATTAGTCTTTGCTTCATTCTTTTCATTTTGTAATATATGTGGAGAGAGTAAGAACATATTTTCTTGGTGCAGGCATGGAAGAGATGGGTTGAAGGAAAGCCTGAGGTTATAATTGATCCTTTACTGGTAGAGGATCCGATAAACGAGATCATTAAGTTGATTCAGATTGGTTTATTGTGTGTTCAAGAGAATGCAGCAAAGAGGCCAACCATGAGCTTGGTAATAGTTTGGTTTGGTAGTGAGACTATCACCATTCCTTTACCTAACGCTCCTGCTTTCACTGGAAGTCATTTCCAATCTGAAAATGATTCAATGTCAGTGAGCAATATTTTCACGGAGTTGAGTTCTCGTTGATTTATAAATCAGTGAATCAAATTGTTGTTTTAAAACATATATTCCCTCCCTTGTGTCATGAGATGTTTTGGGTGAACAGCATTTATATTTAGATTATAATACCATCTCCAATGGTTGAAACCCTTAAGAGGTTCTTAACAATTTTTTACTATAGTAAATTAAATTAAGAATCTTTTGAAATATTTTCCTCTCCAATGGTTGAACCCTTGAGGGGTTCTTGTTTTTGAATTGGTTTGGATAAGTTCTTAACTTGTGGGATTTAAGATATAATGAAATCATTTCTTCTCTTAAAGGGGAGATTTCAGACATGGCAAGTATTTATACAAAAAAGCCAAGTTTCTTACTTACTACAATAAAGCTAGCTCTTGCAAGATTCAAGATTTATACATGGCAAGCACAAATACATTATACAAAAGGTCTCATGTTCTTACTATAATCAAGCTTGTAAGCCTGTTTAACTAGCTATTAACCGCATACTGAAAAGGTTTTAAAAACTTCTCTTACGCCTCGTCAAGGCTATCTCATATTCTTCAATATCATCCATGGAATCAATCTCTTCAACTTCATCTACAACAAAGAAGAAGAACCAAATCACATAAATAAGGACACAAAAGTCAAAACCCACAAGAAAGTCTTAAAACTTTACCAATCGTTGGAAAGCATGAGAGATTATAAGGAGATAGTACTTATGACAACATCTCACTAATTAGCTTGTTCTTTAGCGCTATTTCTATATCAGAAAGTGGTTCTGTTTTTGAAAGGAGACTGCCAAGCAATTTATTCTTAGAAAGCTTCTCTTTTATTTCCAAGTCTTTTTGCTTTATCTCCCACACGTTCTGTAACTCCAACAGTTCCTTGCTTTCTTCTTTAGCACTGGTTATCTTGTTCCCAGTCATTTTAGCTTTAGCCTTTGATGCCTTAACACCAGGCAGATGAGCCATTGATACATCCTCTCCATGGCTTTCTGGTTGGGAGCTTGAAGACTATGCACAACCCTCCTCAAGCTTTTTTTTTTTGACCTTACCATCTTTAACAGAAGAAGTCAAACACCATTTATGGTCATGGTGAAGCTCCCTCCATGCATGTTCAAGGGTGAACTTGACCTGGTAATCGTTGAAGAAGATTTCATGAGCCACTTTCATAACATCATTCTCATTCTGGCCGCTTGATTGCTCTTTCATTGCAGCCTCATAGCATTCAACGAACTTGCATACTTGGTCATTTAACCTTCCCCACCTTTGCTTACAGTGACTGGCCTCTTTATTTTGCAGACCAACAAGTTGTGGACTTGAGTTAAAATAAGCTTGAATGCGTTTCCAAAACGCTACAGCTTTTTGCTCATTCCCAACAACTGGATCCTTGCTGGTGTTCAAGCACGCACTGATGAGCACAACATCTTCGTTGGGTGTCCACTTCCTTCTTTCTTTACGTTTCTCAACACCTAGGATTGGATCATCAGAACATTGGCTACTAAACAGAGGGACTTTTTTGATGATCCAAGTTCTATACTAGGCGAATAACTCTCATAATGATTGGGGTGAAGAATGTGGTTTTCTTGTTGGTTAGTTAAGAGGTTTACAAAGCCTGGAGAGTTACTATATGGATTCGTATTATCCATATCCTATTTTACAAAGAATTTTTAGAAGGATAAGAAAAATTTAGAAGGATAAGAAAAGAAGGGTTATGGCTTAAGTGTTCAGTTTGAAAAACAATTGCAAGCACCAATATATAAGCGGTTATGGTTTGAGTGTTTTTAGCAATCAATGACAAGCATTGATCACAGAGAGCTTCCACTCTTTAACCTAATCTACTACTACCAACCATTGATCACAAAGAGCTTAAAGACTTTACCTAACAAATAGCTAACAAGCATTTATCACAAAGAAGTGTTTTGGCAATCGATACAATTGTTAACAAGCATATATCACAAAGCCTATCTAACCGATTATTAGTATTAACTGTTCAGCTAACTATGTATGCTAACAAAAAGTGAGGAAGATGAATAACCTTGCTTCATTGCTGAAAAGGAATCAGTCGGAGCTTGTATGAGCATTTGTCGTTCTTTCTTCATTTAACCTCACAGAAACCAGAGAAATGTGATCAAATTCTTCAACAAAGAAGCAAAAACAAAGCATATTCAAGCAGACATATAAATTAAATTTTTGAATCATGCAAAAAGAACCAAACACTTAGCAAATGCGATCAAAAACTTAAGATGCCACAATGTATGCATCAAAACTATGGACCATACTAACGGAATCAAACAATATATGCCTAAAATCTTCTTCAATCATGGCTAATAACTTACATACTGACAATTCAAAGTACCCTAATTTCGCTTACACCAAATATCTGTGATTTTCCCCAAATCACAGAACCCTAATTTCGATCTCAGTAACCAAAAATTTATAACATCTACAAAGAATATCAGATAGATTCGTACCTTGACAAAGAGATTGGAGAATCTTTCAAATTTACTCCCCGATTTTGTCGTCAAACTCTCCGATTAGGTGAAAAAAACTATCTGACTCTCAAACCCAAACTCCACGATGATGAACAGCGAATTTGACCAAATCGATGACTTTGTCCGTAAAAAATCCGAATCCACTAATGCTCTGACATGTGTCTCTAAGAGATGGTTTTAAAACTGAAAAGATCGGTTCTTAACATTGACCACCGTTTTGATTTATTTTTAACCCCAAAATAAATTAAAAAAAAATCCCAAATTCGATGAATCGGTCCAATGAACTTGATGATACCGTTTCTTTGAGACATGGCAGAAAATGATTGGGCGAAAAATGTGTAATTTTGTGGAAGAAATTTTTTTTCCTCTAGCAGAAATAATTTTTTTTTCATCCCTTATTTCTTCTGCTCTTGTCGTCTTCCCCGATGATTTTTGATCAATTGAAACATCTGTAAAATTCACTGGTGGTTGAGTAATCCAAGCATCAAGTATCCCTTCCCATCATCAAGGTAACCTTCTTAAAGCATCGAGTATCCCTTCCCATCATTAAGGTAACCATTATCAACTTACTTTTGGATCTTCGATTCGATTTGGCTTGGCTAAATTAGGTGGTTTAGAGATTGTGATTCGTGAGCTTAATACCCGGGAAGACGATTCAAGTAGATGGTATTTGTTAGAGATCCTTAGAGCTTTGTCGACTGCTTTTATGTTCGATTCAAACGTGTTTTACATATAAAGTTAGAAACTCTGGGTTGATGTATTTTGATCAGCATCTCTATATCTTCTGGGTCGTTGTAGATGTATTGTTTCGGTCTAAATTCTGCATATGATCGTTTAAAGTGGAGATTCTTGTGATGTTGTAGGATTTCAGCGGCTTAGAATAACATAGTGGCTGTACTCAAATTGCTTATATAGGCTCTTGCATTAGGCATGTCAATATCAACCCGACAAAGAATTACAAGATTTCAACCGCAAAAAGTCCCATGAAAATATTTTTTACCTATTTGATCCAAACCCTTCATTACCCCTCACAGATAGCCCTGCCTCTGAATGCTGCGTGCATAAAAGTAAGAAATAGTCAAACTCTGCATCATCTCAATATCAGTAGAATAAACAAAATGATCAATAGCATTGTAGCTTTGACAGCTAATGCGTATAACAAAGAAAAATGTTTACTTCACGAAGAAACATACATGATTTACTGGTATAGAGCTGATATAGAATTCTTCGTCCTTGAAGCTTTGTTGTGCCTTCCTTTTCTTACCGCTAACTGGAATCAAAGGAGAGTTTATTATATGCAAATCAATATTTGTGGGGAGCTTTAGGTGGCACTGTGTAATTTCTTGAATGTCATTGATGCAGTTTGTCTTTGACTCTTGAGGTTAATCTGGAAAAGATGGAAGTTTGTGGGGACTTGAATCCTAAGTCTATCTTCTTTCATAGTTCTTTATTTTGATATGCAGTGAAGAGAAATGCAAGAGAAGCCAACAGTTTGCAAAGGAAGCTGGTCTTCCGGGATTATCAAATGTACTACCAAAAACAAGGGGTTTTGGCGTTTGCTTAGAAAATCTACATAACTCTTTGGATGTTCACTTGTATATAGTAGTATCTCACGCCACATTTTATTAATTTCTATGGACGAGACAATGTCTACATGTGATTCCTACAAGAGCCCTCAAGTGGAGTATATCGACAATGAAGAAGTCTCGGCTGTAGTTTCCACTGAAAGGAAGGCATTGAGTAATCTCTACATAACGCTGCGTTCAGAGACAACTGGTACTACCAATGGTTCTTTAGCTACAACATTGAATAACACTAGATTTTTATAGAAAGTATAATTCATTCTAATTCAATTAATTTTTTTAATTGAATACCTCTTCCTAAGTTTCATGTAATGAATTGTAATTTTTGTGTTTAAATTTATTAGCAAAATTAAATATTTCGAATTTAAAAAAAATTATTTTTATTTTTATTTTTGATGAACTCCATTTGGAACCAGGAAATTGATACAAGTTTTTCCATAAACACAAAACCAAAAAAAATAATATAATATTCTGGTAGGGTTTACTAATGTACATGCTCTTAAACCCCCCATTGGATATGGTTTATCATTTCATACCAGTTCTATTCCTACCAAATAGCATCACTTTATACCCTCTGATCTAAAATAAGTGTTTTGAAATAAATGATGTTTTAAGTATTTTTTCTCAAATTAATAAGCGGTCTTTTCAGTTTTTAATATAAAATGAGCTAAATTTTGTGTATTAGAAATGCGAAAAAAAATAAACTAATCTAGACCAATTGATTTTTGGATAGTTTAGAGTTTAGACAGATATAGCAACGTTCGGGGAAATTGCCACTAGACCTACATAAGATTTTTCGTCAGTAACGGCTAATGTACTCACACTTGCATGAGATGAGAGTTAGAGAAGTAAGAGTGGCCCACGAGTTCTAATTGTTCCAACTTTTAGATTACGTAAAGTCGAAAAGAAAATTGACACAGCCGTATTGTAAGGGTAATAATTAATTAAAATTATTTCAAGTTTCAACCCTGCATTGGTACATTGACGAAGACTACTGATGTGAACATGAGGATGACGTTGATGGTCATTGAGATATGTCCATAGATTCATTTTGTAGAGGAAGAGAGCAGGATCGCTAAGTAGATGTATCCTTAACCAAAACCCATTCTCTCATTCACCTACTTTTTATTTTATTCTTTTGACAAAACCCTAATCTCCATTTCTTAACAATTACAGTATCATGAAAAACTCTGCTATGATTTTCCTTTCTTTTCCACTTCTCCTTCTTCAAACTTTCAACGGAGTTAAAGCCGGCTTCCTCTGCGTCGGAAGCACCTTCCCCGCTAACAGTAGCTACCGCGAAAACCGTGACTCTCTCTTCTCCTCTCTTGCTTCTAAAGTCATCACAAACGGTGGATTCTACAACGCTTCACTCGATAGAGTTCACGCTCTTGCACTCTGTAGAAGAGACTACGAGCGGCAAGCTTGTATCAACTGTGTCGAAAAAGCCATTCGACAGATTAAAAATAGTTGTCCTGATCGCGTTGAATCGTTCGATTGGGACAGTGACGATGCAGAGCAAGTTTCTTGTCTTGTACGTACCGCAAATCATTCAACTTTTCGAAAACTCGAACTTGGACCAGCTACGAATGACCCGAGTCCCGTTAGTATCGACTCATCCTTCAACAACATGACCCTTTTCCGCCAAGAATGGGAAGCAATGGTTAACCGAACCCTTGAGGCTGCAACCGTTGACACTTCCACATCGGTTCTCAAGTATTATGGAGTTGTAAAAGCAGAGTTTGTGGAGTTTCCAAATGTTTATATGATGATGCAATGCACACCGGACATAACTTCAGGCGAGTGCAGGACATGTTTGGAAGAATGCGTCAAGTATTTTAGAGATATGTCTTGGGGAAAACAAGGAGGCAGCGTTTGTCGACCGAGCTGTGTTTTCCGATGGGATATGTATGCTTTTTCCGGGGCTTTCGCCAATATAACAAGAGTTCCGGCGCCTCCTCGAGCTTTGATTCCTCAAGCACAAGCAATCTCTGTGACTAGCTTTATAGGTTTGATAACAAATGAGTTTGATATATGTTTATTGTCACCTATACAATATATCTGAAGTTTGCATACATAAAAAAGAGCAATTTTTTTTGAATGAATGTTAAATTATATTCAAACCCAAAAAAAATAGGTGTTTCTACATTAATGATGCGGGTTGTTTTCTAGAGTCTACATTGCTTTAAAGATCAAAAATCCACTCTCCAAAATAAAAATCGCCAGTGCTCTGTTTCCTTTCTCCTTATGGTGTTGCTTGAGCAGCAAGCCACAACTGCATTCCATCTTCATCTCTGGTGTCTCCAAGAATTCTGATCGAAATGAACCTGTTTCTCATTCTTTTGTTTATTTTGCAGGAAGAATTATCGCGATAGTTGTGGTTCCTACCGTCATTAATCTTTTCGTGCTTATTGGTTTGATCAGAGCTTATGGTCAGATGAGAAAATCGAAAAACGAAATCATCAGTGGTATGTTCTCATGCTTTACAATAAAATTTTTGGTGCATTCTTGGTCATAGTTTTCTTTTCTTGGGTTAGAATGTGAAGAGGAGCACTGTATTTCTGATGGTCAAGTTATGCTACGGTTTGATCTTGGAATGATTCTAACTGCAACCAATAACTTCTCTCTTGAAAACAAGCTTGGACAAGGTGGATTTGGATCTGTCTACAAGGTATATAAATTTGTAAGCTCTCAAAATCGTTAGATTGGTCAGTGATCTTGTGGCATGAGAATTATGGGTTTTCAGGGATTATTACCGAGCGGGCAAGAAATAGCCGTAAAGAGATTAACAAGAGGTTCAGGACAAGGAGATATGGAGTTTAGGAATGAGGTCTTACTCTTGACAAGACTCCAACACAGGAATCTGGTTAAGCTTCTTGGGTTTTGTAATGAAGGAGATGAAGAGATTCTTGTCTATGAGCATGTCCCTAATTCAAGTCTTGATCACTTCATATTCGGTGAGCCTTTTGCTGAAATGCTACATATTTAGGTTTATAATGTTTTAGTATTGATGCCTCTTCTGAAATTTTCAGATGATGAGAAGCGTTTGCTACTAACGTGGAATGTGAGGTACAGAATTATTGAAGGCGTAGCGCGAGGTCTTCTTTATCTACACGAAGATTCTCAGCTGAGGATTATTCACCGAGACTTGAAGGCCAGCAATATTCTTTTAGATGCTGGGATGAACCCTAAAGTTTCAGACTTTGGCATGGCGAGGTTATTTAGCATAGATCAGTCTCGAGGAGTGACAAGGAGACGCGTTGGAACCCTGTAAGTATGTTCTGTATTAGACATGGATGCTCTGTTTTCAAACAGAATATTGCATGCAAGACATAGATGATATGGTATTCTAAAGTAGAGATTTTAGAGATTTCTTGATGTTAGGTTCATAATTAATGTCATTTTGATTCAGATACTGTTGGATTAAGATCACATGTCGTGTTACAATTGCATGGTTGCAGTGGCTATATGGCTCCTGAATACGTTAGGAATGGAAGATTTTCAGTGAAAACAGACGTTTACAGTTTCGGGGTTGTGCTTTTGGAGATGATAGCCGGTCAAAGTAATCAGAACTACTTCGAAGCCTTGGGGCTCCCTGCACATGTAAGCATATAGTTAACACTTATTTTACTTACTCGAACACGCAAATGAATCTTAAAAATGTACTCATTATAAAGTTATAATGTATAGGCATGGAAGTGTTGGGTTGCGGGAGAGGCGGCGAGTATCATCGATCCTGTCTTGAGTAGGAACTCGACAAACGAGATCATGAGATTCATCCACATTGGTTTGTTGTGTGTTCAAGAGAATGTTGCAAAGAGACCGACCATGAGTTTGGTTATTCAATGGCTTGGTAGTGACACTATCTCGATTCCTTTACCTACAGCTGCTGGTTTCACCACCACACATCTTCCCGTAGAATTGCATAGAACCGATGCAACGAATCAAGCCAAAGGCGAAGCTGGTGCTCTTTCATTGAACGAGTTATCTATCACCGAGTTAAGTCCTCGTTGAATCCGAGATCTCTCTGTGATTAAACTAATACTTCTAAGTGCTTTTAATTCTTAAATCATTCGATCTTTACCTATTTCTTATTGCACAAGAACGTTCTTCTTTTTCTCTAAAACTCACTGCTCATGATCAAGTCAACTTCCAATATGGTATTGAGATCAAATTATAATATCATAAAGTTTTCTTACACAATATAAGGTTTCTTTAATAATTCAATTAAAATATTAATATTCACTTTGGTCCATTTTTCTTTTTGGTAAAATCACTTGGATCCATTATTTGCGACAATTGATCCAAGAAAATCTTATACATATAATTAGAGATTTTTCTTTACATTTTTTTTTGTAAAATGTCAACATCATAAACAGAACATCAAGTTGAAACTAAAATTCAATGACTGAAATTACATTATACGTTGTCCTTAAAAAAATCTTCCTGACGCATACTTTCGTAATGATATAAATTTTAAAATCAATAATAAATGACAATATAAACAACATCATTACTATAATAATATTCAATAAATACACTAAATAATTATAAAGTTAATGTCTTTTAGTCAAGTTGTTAAAAATCCACTGTCTTGCAAAGGATTAAGAAAATGGTTAACGGGCTCGATTAATAAAAAAAACACTCAATGATAAATATATGAGATATAGCCAATGATCATGTCCATTACGCATACAAATAGATTACAGTTAACTTGTTTTATTAAATGTCGTGCAACGGAAGTTACACTAAATACAACTATTGAAAAAATAATCTATTTAACTAGGGAGCTTCACGACCCACCAAGAGACTAGTCTGGTGTCCTCCAAAGTCCAACCTCGGATAGTCGGATATCTCGGATGTTAACTAAAAGACAAGTCAAAATCCTATCCTGTAGGTCAACTGGTACCCATTTCTCACGTCGAATATTTTACCCATTTCTCACGGTAATATATTAAACCCATTCCACAAGTATGTAGTTGTAATGTCTTACAATAAAAAAAAATTCAAGTTGCAATGAATGTGTTATAAATTAGCGATGATTCCATAGATGAAATAACATGAAATAAAGACCCAATTTTTGCAATCCTAACGGTTAGAGAATATGATTAAATGGGAAATAGATGGGTTATGACTACTTCCCTCTCGCTTCTCCTTCTCTTCCTTCAAAGCCTAAAATATGTTCACGCCGGTTTCATCTGCTATGGCGAATTTTCCACCGTTAAGTACGGCGTCAATCGAAACACTCTCTTCTCTTCTCTTCCTTCTAACGTCGTCACTAACGGCGGTTTCTACAACGCTTCACTCGGCAGAGATTCCGGAAACAACAGAGTCCATGTTGTCGCTTTATGCAGACGAGGCTACGAGAACCAAGCTTGTAAGACATGTCTCGAGCACGCCATTGAAGACACCAAAGCCAAGTGTCCTCACCAAAAGGAGTCGTTCTCGTGGGTCACTCATGAACCCGACGACGTTTCTTGCAATCTACGTTACACCAATCACTCGACTTTCGGCAAGCTAGAGCTCTCACCATTTACTATCAACCCGAATCCAGATTCATTTAAAGTCAAGAACATGACCCTTTTAAGCCAAGAATGGACTGCAATGGCTAACCGGACACTCGAGGCTGCTTCTACCGCTGAGACTTCATCAGTCCTCAAATACTATAACGCCACAAGAACAAAGTTCACAGAGATTTCAGATGTTTACGCGCTTATGCAATGCACGCCTGATCTATCGCCAAGTGACTGCAAGAGATGTCTTAGAGAGTGTGTGATTGAGTTTCAAAGGAAGTATTGGGGAAGACAAGGAGGTGGAGTTGGTCGGCCTAGCTGTTATTTCCGGTGGGATCTTTATCCTTTTTATAAAGCTTTTGATAATGTTACAAGAGTTCTTGCTTTTCCTCCTACTCAAGCTTCCTCGGCTACTCTGCACTGCGAGACAGACGATAAAGGTCTTAAAGGAAGAAACATTGCAGTCATTGTGGTCCCTGCAATCGTTAATTTCTTCATATTTGTTTGTTTAATCTGTTCTTGGAAGAGAAAGTCGCCACACACCGGAATCAAAGGTAAAATTGTTTGAACGACTTTTTATATTAAGTTTTGTTAGATTTTACATCGGAAGTTAGAAGAGACATATAGTAATATATTAAAGATATGTGTCAGTCTACTCATTACTAATTGGTTTTGAGTTAGAAACTCACAAAATTCAACATAATATCAAATCTAGTTTGTTTACCCAAGTAAGGTGGTCCAAGTAAACGTAGAATGATATTGAGTCGAGATGGACTTATAAGAGTTATTATATTGAATTGAGGAAGCCTGTTAGGATCCCACATGGAATGTTAGAAGAGACCTATATAGTATATAAGATGACTTTGTTTTGTTTTTCCTTTTGAACTAAATTCTGCATTTTTTGTTTGAATTGGTTACATCCGTTTGATTTACAAGGCTTTCTGATCGAAAAAGGAACAGAAAAAAGAGAAATTCAGACACTAAGAAAAGTCTTCTTCTCCGTTTATTATTATATATCTTCTTAATTCTATTCTCCGGGTAAAAACAAAAGTGAAGTTTTTTACATGTTCATGGTGATGTGCAGAGTCTTCTACTTCAAATGATGGTCAATCTATGTTACGGTTTGATCTTGGAATGATTCTTACTGCAACCCATGACTTCTCTCCTGAAAAGAAGCTTGGCCAAGGTGGATTTGGATCTGTCTATAAGGTAAAGAAACTTGTAAGAGTCTTATCAAAATGGGTCAGTGATCTTATGGCATGAGAATTATGGGTTTTCAGGGATTATTACCGAGCGGGCAAGAAATAGCGGTAAAGAGATTAACAAGAGGTTCAGGGCAAGGAGATATGGAGTTCAAGAATGAGGTCTTACTCTTGACAAGACTCCAACATAGGAATCTGGTTAAGCTTCTTGGGTTCTGTAATGAAGGAGATGAAGAGATTCTTGTCTATGAATTTGTCCCCAATCTAAGCCTTGACCACTTCATATTTGGTGAGCCATTGGTAGACGGCATCATTTTTGTTACAATACTGAACAACAACATAAAAAAAATACACTTTTTCTTCGAGATCTGCAGATGAAGATAAACGCTGGCTTCTTACATGGGATGTGAGGTACAGAATCATACAAGGAGTAGCAAGAGGGCTTCTTTATCTACATGAAGACTCACAGTTGAGGATTATTCACCGGGATTTGAAGGCAAGCAATATTCTTTTAGATGCGGAGATGAACCCTAAAGTTGCAGATTTTGGGATGGCGAGGCTATTCAACATGGACCAGACTCGTGGACAGACAAGCAGAGTAGTTGGAACCTAGTAAGTATGCTCTGTTTTAGATGGATGCTTTGTTTTTCTTTCTTAAGATTCTTCGATCAGTATCGCAATTAATGTGATTTGGTTAATGCAGTGGATATATGGCTCCAGAATACGCGACATACGGACAGTTCTCAGCCAAATCTGATGTTTATAGCTTTGGTGTTATGCTTCTGGAGATGATTTGTGGCAAAAGAAACAAAGACTTGAAACAAGAAGAAGAAGAAGGGGAAGAGGAAGGGCTTCCAGCTTTTGTAAGATTTTCAGACATTTCGGTTTTTCTTCTTTTTCTTCGAGATATTGAACTGCTGAACATTCTTTTTAGGTGTGGAAGAAGTGGATTGAAGGAAAATCAGCAGAGATCATTGATCCTTTGGCTGCGCTGAGTAACAACATCTCAATAAACCAAGTAATGAAGCTTATTCACATAGGTTTATTGTGTGTTCAAGAGGATTTTTCCAAAAGGCCTACCATTAATTCAATCCTCGTATGGCTTGAAAGTCACGCTGCTACCACCATGCCTTTTCCCACAAATGTTGCTTTTCTTACAGAGCCATCATCACCATCACCATCACAATCACCATCACCATCGCCATCACCATTACTGCACCACTGAATCAAGCATGTTTGTATACTTCTTTGGCCCTCTTTGTACAATTAATGAGATGCCGTGTAGTGCAAACAAACGTCATGTTTTTTTTTTTAAGCTTGTAATAAGGGAGGCTCGTATTATCAGTTTTTTAACGTCTAAACTTCTACATAAAAATCATACAATCGCGAGATTGAATTAATCTATTTGAATGATCAAAACCAAAAATAAGATGAAATGGGGCAACAGTTGTCTATGTCTACTGAAGAAGATAAGGGTAGGAGAAAGTATGCAATAATTTTTTTTGTCAGTAATTATATTATTATATGCAGGACCATGACCAGAACCTAGATCCAACTTCCACTCAATGCCTAAATATACAATTCTTTTTAGAAGGCTCAGCCAAACATTTTGTTATTACAAAGAGTCAAACTCTTTAATAATTTAAAGCAAAAGAAAAAGATTAGTCCGCTACATCAGTGAAATTAGGTATTGATCTTCCATGAAAGTATCAGGCTGCTTCCTTTGGATGCATGCTCTTATTCTCTTCTCTTGCTTTCTCTCCCTGAAACTATTAACGACGTTCACGCCGCTTGTGAAGGCAGCTTATTCGCCGTTAACAACACTTACAGCGAAAATTTCAACTCTCTTTTCTCTTCTCTTGCAAAGTAACGTCGTCGGTAACGACGGTTTCTACAACACATCAACTGGAGAAGACTCCAACAAAATATACGATCTTGCCCTTTGTGGACGAGGCTACGAGAAGCAAGCTTGTGTGAGTTGCGTGTGGCTAGCAATTCAAGAATCACAACAAAAATATCCAAATCGAAAAATCTTTCAGGTGGACCACTAGAGATAATGACAATGCTTCTTACCTTGTACGTTACGCTAATCACTCTGTTTTCATTTGAACAAAGATCCACCTAAGAGCATTACGCTTTTTCGACGAGAATGGGAAGCGATGGTTAACCTAACAATGTAGTCTGCTACTTCAGCTCCTGCCAACTCCACGGTTCATATGCTCAAGTTCTACAGTGTCATAAGAGTAGAGTTCACCCAGTTCTCGTTTACATGATGATGCAGCAATGCACTCCTGACATTTTGTCTAGTGAGTGTAACAAATGTCTTAGACAGTCTGTGTTGAAGTTTCAAAACAATAATTGGGGAAGCCAAGGCGGTTCGGGTCGACTTCCGAGCTGTTATTTCCGGTGGGATCTTTATCTTATTTTTGGGACTTCTGAGAATACGAAAAGAGTTTCTATGATTAGTCGTGCTTCGAGTCTTACTCAACGAGAGCTGAGTGAAGCCCTGGAAGTGACAAGACAGGTGAATTATTTGTTAAATTAATTATCTTGTTAGTTAAGTAGATTCTTTTGTTAGTTGTAAACGATTGATGCGACTTTTTTTTTTTTTTTTTTTTTTTGGCAGGAAGAAAGATTCGGTATGGGTCTTTATCGCGATACTTGTGGTACCAAACGTTACTAACCTCTTTTTATTTGTTGGTCTCATCATCTTCTTTGATCGGAGAAGAAAATTTTACAAGAAAACCATCATTGATAAGTTGTTTGTTTGCTTCACTGAAACATGTTTGTTGTAGAGTAGAGGTTTGATTCTTTTATGTTAGTATGTTACAGAGTGCTCTGATTCTGATTGACAATCTATGTTGTGGTTCGGTCTTGGTATGATATTAACTGTAACCGATGAACTTTTACCTGAAAAGAAGCTAGGCCAAGGTGGATTTGGAACAGTCTACAAGGTACGAACATTATAAATTTATAAGATCTTAAGAGCGATCAATGATTATATAGTGAGATAACCGGTTTCAGGGGATATTACCGAATGGGCAAGAGATAGCGGTGAAGAGATTAGCAAGTGGGTCAGAGAAAGGAGATACCGAGTTCAAGAACGAGGTCTCACTATTGACAAGACTCCAACATAAGATCTGGTTAAGCCTCTTGGGTTCTGTAATGAAGAAGATGTGAGATTCTTGTCTACGAGCTTGTCCCTAATTCAAGTTTTGATCATTTTATCTTTGATGAGCTCTATAATAGGATTGTCAATGTTTGATTGCCGAGGTTCAAACTTGTATAATGCATGACAAGAAAAAGGTTGAAATAATGTATGTGCCATTTAAAAATAAATCAAAGAATGAATGCGCGAGTGGTTACTTTAATTCTGTAACCATGAACTTGTAGAAAAAAAAAACATTTCAATTGAAAATTCAGCAACGTGAAACAGAGTTTTGACTCCCTTGCGAGATCTCTTTTAGATTTGACAAGCTTCTCTCTTTGTCTCGAGCTCAAGGGAGTTAGTACTTGGATATGTACTAGACCTAATAGAAAAGAAGAGTACTCCAGAAACGGGTAAATACTTCGGTTGTGCTCAGGTTCTATAGTGTCATAATAAGAGCAGAGTTTACAACATTTTCAGATGTTTACATGCATGATGATGCAATGCACTCCTGACGCTTTGTCTAGTGAGTCTAACAAATGTAAGAACATTTAAAAACTAGTAAACTTGTCAAAATATTGAAATGCTTGGAAACAACCATCAATTAATGTTGTTGGTTGCATACATGCAGTTGTCCAGTGGATTAGTTGAAGGAAAACCAGAGATTGTTGTCGATCCTTTCCTGATAGAAATCCGAGAGAAAAGATCATAAAGTTGATTCAGATTGGATCGTTGTGTGTTCAAGAGAATGCAGCAAAGAGACCAGCCATGAGCTCTGTAATAGTTTGGTCTGTTAATGAGACTATCACTATTCCTTTAACTAAGGCTCCAGCTTTTACTGGAAGTCAATCCCATTCTGAAAATGGTACTCTATGTCAATAAGCAATAATGTCTTCACAGAATTGAGTTGTCGTTGAATTATATAAATCAGTTAATTAAATTAGAATTAGAAATATTGTATGTCATCTAAAAAAAAATCAAACAGTAATGGAATGAATGATTCTTCCCATTCTTGTAACCCTAAACTTGCAGAGAATGTCTTTTGTTAAAAAAAAATTTTGTTATGTTTAAAGACTTTTTTGAAGATTTCGTAATGAGTTCAATTGAAATCAGAAGTTAAACAAAAAAAAGAAATGGGCAATTTCTCTTGAACGATGATTGAAATTTTCTTATGAGTTTGACTCCATAATAATCTTCAGAAATCACATCTTTTGGGAATCGAACCTTAGACCTCTTGATTAATTAACTTTTAGTCAACCATTGGATTAAGGAGTTTCCATTATTTAAAGTTGTAGCTTAAAATATATAAACATAAAAAACATTTTTTTTTAAAAAAATAACATATTTTATTGGAAATATATATATATATATATATATAATAATCTTCCACCCAAATAATAAATGAGATCACCAAGTAACATTTTATAAAAACAACTATCATCTTAATAGGGTCCCCATCTTAATATATATTGTTTATTTTTATTTTTTATCCCATTATATGGGACAATATCATTACATAAAAGGGAAGCAAGCTTAAAAAAGGATAGAAATCCAAGTCCTTTTAGTACTTGAGACCAAGAGTAAGTTCAAGGGACAATTTTTTTTCATCCTTCAAAACTTTTGAGTTTAAAGGATCATTTGCACCATCAACAGCAATAGCCACATCATCATCAGCATTCACAACAATATTGTTGTTATTATCTTTATCATCATCTCTGATTTCAATTAGTCCAACCTACCATAATATAATTAAACAGATAATTAAATACTTCTTAACAATCAAAATAATTCGCATGTTAAACTGTCACATAGATCCTCTTTATCCACTATTTTAAGTCAAATTATCTCACCAAAGTTAACAATAACCAAGAAATGAAGAAAAAATGCCATTAAAAAATAATATTGAAAATCGTTTGATATCATAATTTATCGGTAAATACTGATAAATATAAACGTTTTGGCAATATTATAGGCATATGTAAGGTATAATGATCTTGTATATGCAATATACATACGTCTATCTAGGTCATATCATATTCATCGAAACTTATTTTGACAATCATGCATGATTATAATATATGCAAAAGAAAATAAAATTTACTCTGGAAGATTGAAAGCGAGATTTGCAAGGCACATCCATAATTTTGTTACTTAATTTCAGAAATGCGATTATCTTTTCATTAATATTGCATTGTAGCCTACAAAAAAAATAAAAATAAAGTTAATCATTTTGATTCCACAACAAATAATTAAATGATTCATGAGCTAACATTAATTAATTATGGCATGAACCTTTGTTGGCTATGCATAAACTTGGTTGCGTCTCGAAGACGTTCATAGATTCGAAGGTATTGTTGAGTTTGCCGCCATCTCAGTTGCCGTATCATTCTATTTTTTGCTTTAGATTTGCATGTACATATATATATTTCATGGATCCATACATATTAGGATTATGCGAAACAGTTTAAGTACAAAGATATTTATACATTAATATAGTGAAGTGTAAATGATAAAGTAAAGTGTAAATCATATTTATTTACCTTGTATAGACTCTTCATGCTTCATGTTCCTATACACCTATTGAAATAAACGTATACATTTGATTACATATACACCAGGATCAGAATCAATATTATCACACTATAAATTTTTACATATATAGATAGTGATATATATATGTAGTTCATAAAATGTGTGTATATATATAAGTACCTGAAGATGGCTTTTCACATGCGATATTGTGATTGTTTTCACACCCATTGACTTCAAAATCTTTTTAGGAGTCGCTCCTTCAAATTTAAGAATAATCATAAGATAGACTTTTATAAAAATTAATATTTTTCTTAAAGGATATAAAGAATATACTATGTGTAAGATATAATAGTTGAAATTTTGAAAGCTGAGAAAAATAACACAATTGGTAAAACAAAAATAAAAAAGAGCTTATTGATTATATGGTAAAAAGTGAGAAATTGTATTTGTTGTTCTGAAGAATAATGGAAAAAAAATTGGTTACTCTTTTCGCCACCGAGTTGTTCAACAGCATGGACAAAATATTGATGAAGATCGGTGGTCCATCGCAGTCGCGGTATTTTTGACTTACTGTAAGGTCTAACAATCTCTCTTTGCATTGTTTTTGTTATGCGATGATTTTTTTTCAGAGATGTACCAATTGTTTTTGCGGTTTCAAAATATTTATAGAAATTTTTCTAGAAGATATAATTACCAAAAAATAACCCATATTTAATGCTAGTAAATATTTTTCTCGTGATTTATGATTTTGTTTATTTTTAGTAAGGAAATTAAAATTACACTTTTTAAAAAATACTATTTAATAGCATTTTTCTAATGGTGATAATGTGTACCATAAAACTTAAAATTTCTATTAATTCTACCAGATTTGTTATCTAGAAAATAAAACTATATATGCTGGCAAACTGTTTTATAAAAAGTCAAAATTAACCAAAAATTAATATATAGCTTAACTAGGATATGTATAACTAAATGGTTTGCACTAATGTGGTTATTGTATCATCATCCAATTTAAACATATGCATTACATAATATTTATTGCCAACAAGAAAAAAAATTATAACTTAAAGCCTAAAATTTTAGCTTATTATCATATTATTGAACCAAAATATATAAATAACTTCAAAATTTTTAAAGGAAACAAATACCATGAATATATCTATACTATAGAATATACTATTTCCTTCCAAACCAATTTAATTTTATTCTAATAACAAAAAAATTGCAATAGTAGAGATACCATATTTCATAAATTTTATCATTTCTAAATGACAAAAATACAAAACCCTAAATTTCTATATGTGTTAAATATATACTTTGTTTATAGCATTTTTTTGGAGATTTTAAAAAAAAAAAAAATAGCTAATATTGGACTTTTTCATAGTATGTTATCACTTTAACATAATGAGAAAATTAGTTATGGTTTATTACATTAAATTATTTAGTAACAAAGTTTGTCAATTTCTCTTTATGTAAAACTAGGTATTAAGTCTGCGCCTTGCGCGGCCACAAGAATTTTTTAAAGTTTGTCAATCTCTTCTTTTTAAATAATATTTTGATAAAAAAACTATATGCAATTAATTATATTTAATAAAATATTATTTTATATATATTTTAATATAATAGTATGTATAAAGAAAATTATAGTTTTAATCTTAAAAATAATATCTAATTTGTGAGGTTTCATGATCTGATTTTGAATATATATATACTATGTTATGTTTGGAAAACTTATAATTTGATATAATATTTATAAATAATATACTAAAAGCTAACTAAAAGTGTGACAAAGTGATCAAATGCTATTTATTAATCATAATATTGATACAAGATTATAAATTCTATATCAGTTCTCTAAATAATTAAAAAATCATTGTTTTTCATCATTTTAGTTTCATCCTCTTTATATACATTTTCTATAAAATAACAAAACATAATAAATATAAAATTATTTTACTTTCTTAGCTAATTTAACCAATACAAATTTCTAATTTAATATACTACATTGAAAAAGAAACTAATAATTGCAATTCTTGCTTTCGGATTCATGATAACTTTTGTCTTGTATCATATTATTTATGTTAACTTTTAAATAATTTTTAATGATTATACCTCACTTCTTCCAATCAAAGTGAATAAGTTTTTTTCATTTTATTTAATTTCATTCTCGTTATATATGTTTTCTATGGAATACAGAAAAAAAAAAGATAGTTAAAATTTTAGCTACTTTTATCAATACAAATTTTCAGTTTAATTTACAAGTGAAAAATAAAACTAATAAGCACAAATCTTATTCTCGTATCTAAGGAAAATTAGTTTTTTAAACCAAAACAAAAATAATTATGGAATGAACATTGAAAGAAATTAATATTTTTTTTTTTTTTTTGTCGACTACCCAACTATTACATCAATGTTGGCCGGGCTGAGAGCAGTTTTGGGGGCCATCCTCAACCGACTCGGTATGATCAATGTGGGTGAATATTTGTCCTCTTACTCGGGATCCTTTTGCAAGACTGTCCGCCAGGACATTTTCACTCGGTAAGGTACGGTTCCGGCTAGGTCTCAACCCTAGGATGAGAGAGACATCTTCGGGTTGGAAGAAATTTCTCAGAAGGGGAACATCCCACTGCTTTGTATCTTGTCGAATAAAGGGGTAAACGAGTAATCCCAGGTCCTGGTAGCCGATCTGTGGGGTGGCTCTCGCCGGCCGAGCTCTAGTGTCCGGGATCCATGGTTCGCACCAGACCCTTGTATTTAGACCCGACCCTATCGTCTTCCGCAATCCCATCATTAGGTATGGTTTTGCAGCTAAAATACTCCTCCACCCATAGGACAGGGAGTAGACTCTACGATCTTCCAACGGGTCAGATTGTCTATAGTATCGTCCTCGTAAGACCCTAGCCAGCAGAGATAAAGGGTACTGGATAAGACGCCATAGCTGTTTAGCTAGAAGAGCTAAATTGAAATCCTGTAGATCCCGAAATCCTAGGCCTCCCATATCTTGGGGGATACAAATCTTGTCCCAAGCAATCCAGTGAATCCCTCTATTATTCTGTTTCGAACTCCACCAGAAATTAGCAATGGCACTCCGTAACTTGTCAGTCACTCCTTGGGGTAATAGAAAGCATGACATGACGTAAGTAGGGACAGCTTGGGCGACCGATTTTATCTGAATTTCTTTTCCACCTTTGGAAAGAAGTCTTGCAGACCAGGAATTTACTCGGTTACTCAGTCGATCATGGACGTAGGAGAAAACTTTCTTTTTTGATCCACAAATTTGTTTTGGGAGGCCCAGGTACATGCCCATGCCACCCTCTGCCGAGATTCCGATGGCGTCCTTGATACCTTGCTTCAATGTCGGGTGAACTCGATTCCCAAACATGATGGATGATTTGCCCAGATTAAGTTGTTGTCCCGAGGCTGAGCCATATGTGTTGATGATCCTAAAGATCTCGGTTCCTTGTTGGATGTCCGCTCGACAGAAGAACAAGCTATCATCCGCGAATAATAGATGGGAAACTGGTGGGCTTGCTTGGGCAATTTTTAGCCCAAAAATTTGGTTTTCCCTTTCTGCTCCATTTAGGAGTGAGATAAGAGCCTCGGTGCATAGGATAAACAAAAACGGAGAGAGGGGGTCTCCTTGTCTCAATCCTCGTGATGGAGTGATATGTCCTTTTAGTTCTCCGTTTATCAACACTTGGTAGGATACCGAAGAAATACAGAACATCAGAAGCTTGACCCATCTCTCAGAGAAGCCCAACTTGATCATTAGGGCTTTAATGAAGCTCCATTCCACTCTGTCGTATGCTTTGCTCATATCTGTCTTGATGGCCATAAAGTTTTCTCTGCACACCGAGTTAGTACGAAGTGCATGAAAATTTTCTTGTGCCAACAGAATATTGTCGGTGATCAGCCTCCTAGCCATGAAAGCCGATTGAGTCTCTGAGATTAGATTAGGTAATGTCTTTTTAAGTCGTTTACAAATGAGCTTTGAGATTATCTTATAGCTCACGTTGCAAAGGCTAATCGGACGGAACTCCGTCATAGCTCTAGGCTTTTCTTTCTTAGGGATAAGACATATGTTGGTCTGATTGAGTCTAGGATCAAAAGATCCTGATGTGAAGAAATCTTTAACTAATTTCACAATATCATGGCGGAAATCCTGCCAGAACCTTTGGTAAAACTTGCTTGTCATTCCATCCGGTCCCGGGGCTTTATCTGGATTAATATCGAAGAGAGCTTCTTTAATTTCTGCTTCTATGGGGTCTTTGAGGAGGATCTGGTTAGAAGATTCTGTCACTTTCTCGGTGATGAACCGGAGTGCATTATCTGGGTCTGGGGGTTGTGACGAGGTGAACAAGTCTTGGAAGTAGTGGGAAGCTACCCGTTCAATACCTCGTGCATTTTCCACCCAATTCCCATTCCTGTCCCTCAGGGCGACAATTCGATTCCGGCTTCTCCTTTGTTTTGTGAGCGCATGAAAGAATTTCGTGTTTCTGTCCCCGGCTTTGTGCCATTGTTCACGACTTTTCTGTTTCCAGAAGGTTTCTTCCTCGCGTAAAGCAGCACAAAGGTTCCTTCTAATATCTTCTACTTCTTCTAATGTTGAGTTTTCGTCGTCTTGGGCCGCATCCAATTGGTTTTTCAGTTCCTCAATCATCTTCTCTGAATTTGATGATTGGGACTTTTTCCACTTAGAGATACTCGTACGACAATTAGCTACTTTGCGATGGAAATCCCGACGAGTGATTCCATCCAAAGAGCTCCAGCCGGAGATTACCGCCTCTTTGAAACCTGGTTTTCCCAACCATCTTTTATCAAATCTAAATGATTTCTTCCTCCGTCGATTATCCACTTGAATTCTGGCCATAACGGGACAATGGTCTGAACCCCATAATTTAAGATATTCCACCGAGGTGTGGGGGAAGATAGATTGCCATTCTTCATTCCCCACGGCTCTATCGAGACGACATTTGACTTTTCCGTTACGTCTTCTTCCGACCCATGAGAAAGAATTTCCTTTATACGGAAATTCGAGCATCCCACAATTATCTAACATGGTTCGGAAAGGGATAAAAGAGTATTCTTGTCTCCTGCGTCCTCCCCGTTTCTCATGGTTTCCGTAGATTTCATTGAAATCTCCAATCATAAACCAGGCTTCTTTTCTAGAGAGGCTCATTCTAGTGAGACGTTCCCATACATATTCTCGGTTTTTAATGACCGGATCTCCATAAACGAACGTCAAAAATATTTTATGTCCGTCTAGACTAGTTTCTACATCAATAAGATGTTCATCCGAATAGGAGATAGTAACTGAAGATTCATCCATATAAAAAAGGGCTAGACCGCCACTTCGACCTCTCGGTTCAATAGTGAAAACATGATCATATCCAAAATGAACTTGCATGTCTTGCAGAAAGTAACGTTTATTTTTGGTCTCCGACAAAAATAGAAATCTCGGTTGAAAACATTTATAAAGTTCTTCCAAATGATCTTTTGTCAAATCCGAACCAGCTCCTTGACAATTCCACCCGATGACGTTCATTACAGACAATAGTTTCTGGAGTTAGTTTCTGGACATCTGATGGTTTTGGGCCTT